CACCAATCTCCCTACGGTGGACCTATCTCCCCTCCTCTTCATCTCTGTTTTTAATGACGGATTAGCCTCTCTCGACCACGCTGCTCCGACTCCTCCTCCTCGCCGCCGGGGTTGAGGCCAATCCGGCGAAGCTCCTGATCCAAAAAGGGCTACTAGCCACCCAGCCATACGTCTAGCTCGAGGCAAATGCCCAAGCGCCACATGAATACGTCATCCTACGACCGGTGCAACATGAGCCAATAGATACACAATCCCGTGGCCAATGCGACACACACCATTCGGCCAACACCTGAACTTGCTCTAACAACCCATGGAAGCAGCTGCCACTGCTGTCTCACTTTCACGCATGACTGAACGCAGTCAACGCTAGTTTTTTTGCCAGTGATCATTGTTGCCGGTGGCTCCGAGTTTTGTCAACAAGAAATCTCTCATTGTAGTGCCTCTCGTCTTTGCCTACACCTGGAGATTCGGCCAAAATATAATAGTCCGCTAGTTATAAACACTGCACATACGCATCACAGTCTCCTCTCTTTAAATCGTCGCTCATGGAACCAACTGCCAGCTCCGGTAACGTCTACGTTGATCAGGCGACCAAGTGAGCAACTGTCTTCGTTAACAGATCTCAAGGGGTTTACTTCTCAAAACTTAAATTGCTTTTTGTCTGGCTCCTGCAGGTTCTGCCCAACGAACTTCTTGTCTTAAATCAGATTGTATCACTAAAGCGCTTTTCGAACCTACGACTAGACAGGTCCGAGTCATCTGCAAAGGCTATCGACCTTGGTATCGGCTCGGAATCTTAGGGTCAACGAGAGCCCCGACAGTCCTTAAATCCGCGTCAAAGTTGGAAAACGCCTTTTTTCTAGGCGCTATCGCTTCTCCATTGACCAGCATGCTAACAACCGACTTGGCGTCTTAGGACAGCAGTACCACCATCCACAATACTGGGTTCTGAGCGCATAAGTTACTGTGGGATCGGTAGTTTGTGTTGATTCTAAGCTGCTTTTCACGGTAGGCCTCCATCATCATGGCGGGAGACAGGGGGCAGAAAGGGGATGGAAGCACGTACATAGCGAAGATTTACTCCACTTATCATTTCTTATTTGCGACACCGCCGAAACGCCGTCGTTCAGTAATCGGATTATTTGCGTATGTCGTTATGGGCACTCGATATTTCTTCATCTTTTCCTGACAAGGCGAGTCTACCACTCAGTATTTACTATTAGAAACCTCGTTCACTAGCAGTTTGTTTTCACCAACACTTGTTTCACATCGTAGGGACCGAAGCGTCTATGCGGAGATTAATGGATGGAATACTTAAGATCTGCCCCCAATCCGTTCTGTCGACCCGGGCTGGTGCTACAAGCTAAAACAGAAACTGCGTTTGCTTGATCAACAATGCTCTAGAAATTTGAATAAACCCTTAATGGCTAATTTATTCGGCAATTTTCACCGATAGCCCTATACAGCGTCCCACAAGGCTGTATCCTGTCGCCTATTCTATTAACTACGCCATTGACTGGATTCTCGGGAAGGCTCTGCGTGAACAGGTCGTTGGTAAGCTTGCACCTGGACACCGGTTGACTGATTTTGAATACGTTGAAGTTATCGCTTCACTAGCTTCAAGCTTTGGTGATCTACGGCCTATGGTGTCACGGGTGAACGAGGTCGCTAAATCAGTCGTTTTGTTCATAAACGCTGGGAAGATCAAAGTGTTTTCATGCTGCATCCCTGCCCAAGAGACCACACCTCTCGAGATTAATGTCTGTCAACTTGGAGAAGTAGACAGTTTCAAATTCCACTGAGCGACGTTGCTGCCGAATGGGCGGACATTGTCTCCCGAATCGACACAGCTCGTCGAGTGTTCTCAAGCCTTAGAAAGTGTCTTTAGACCAGACGCGATATTTCTATTGTCCCGAAGGTTCGCGTGTATCGTGCATCCGTTCGGTCTGTCCTCTACAGCTGTAAAGGCTGGGCTCTGCGCGTGAAAAAGTAAAGAAAACTGAAGGTAATTGACCACTGCTGCTTAAGGACCATTATTTGAGTGAAGTACACCGACTTATTCTAAAATGAGACAGTCTGCT